AAAAAAAAAAAACCACAATAAAATGTTTATATTATTTGATCAAGACAATACAATATGTATGCTTTGCTTTCAGTGAAAAAAAATGGAGGGGAAAAAAGGGTGTGTGTGGAGGTTTGGGAGGACAGCAGAGAAAAGTCCAGCTAAAAGCAGTTCAATCATATCACCTACAAAACATGGGAGTCTTACATGTCCACCAGTCATTCGCACATTATCGTTCATGGCAGAAAATCAATAAATATGAATCGGAAACAATGCTAATCTACAGTAAAATAAATATCCATTACAGTTCAGGTACCCTGCAACAGGTCTGTCTTTTGCAGCACAGAATTGGAAGATGTCAAGTACTGTTTTTATTCTTCCAAATTCAGCAAGTTGGAGAAACAGGGAAAGGAAACCATGTCATAATGGAGCAGCCCCTTTGTTGAATGAGAGCGAATGGTTTACTTTTTAGGGCCATGAAATGAACTTTTTCTTAAAAGAGCTTAAGAGCCAATAAATGTTTCACTGTAAGAGGGAATGACAACTGTGCATTTAGTTTCCTTCCCTTTCTAGCTATTTAGAAGATCTTAAACTCAGCTGCATCCCACTCCTGCTCTAGTTCATCACTGCTTATACTCCTAGGCAAACTCTCTTTGACAAGAGTTGCAAATGACTCCTTAATATGATAGGCAAGAGTAAATATAATTAGTTCCAGGAATAGGTGGCTAACTGGCTCCAATTTAAGTACGTACTACATTCTTTAGGTCCTAAAAGTTTAGGAAGTTGGTCAGTATACTTTCCCTAAAGGATGGAATGGTAAGAAATAAGTGATTGAGCACACTAAATAGCAGCCTATTGCTCTCACTGGTTCAATATTGCATTGCACACCAAACATCACAGGAAAACATCTCTGGAAAAGGAAAATCAAGCTTTTCCCTAATTTCTACTATACAAAATATGAGGCCAACAGCAGACAACAGCCAAACACAGTGACTGAGATCAATTGCTAGACATGTGACTGAAGTGTCAATAAGCTACTTGCTAGGTGGCATAGAAAGGAAAGAAGATACAGTATGAGCTTAGCATCTTACACCTACATACTTGACATATCTCTTAAAAATAATTATGTGCAACATTTCTGCAAAGGAGACAGATTGTAGCAGGTAAGGGTCAATGTGACAAAGGACACAAGAATGTTCTCAAAATGTTATGGGAATCAAGGGCAGTTTTCTGCCTGTTCATAGTTTAAGTATGTCAGATGCTCTACTGCTGCTTCTGTAGCTGGTGATCAAATTATATTGGACCTCAACTAGCTGAGCCACTGCAAATGCTGATATGTGCTTGTAGGCCAGCAGGTAATCTTGCCTAAAATCTAGGTGGAAAGCAGCCCTTAGATCTGAATCCGTCTGAAACTAGATGCAGCACTTTACACCACATATTTTTTTCTTGAGAGGAGTCTGAAACTCCACAATGTAGGACAAATCTACAAGAACAAGCAGCTATTTAACAAGATTTGAGTGGGGAAAGAAACATTACCAAGAGTTTATAACCATGCAGACTGTTACTAGTTTTCACACTGGATTGGTGTAAGCTAAAAATTGAAGGATTTCCCCATGTTTTATGCCTGAGTTTCAACATCAATGTCTGTAGGTCTGTACATGGCACGTTTCCACTCCTTTGCTTGTGCACCAATATCAATCAAGTGGGTGCATAACACCAAAGCAGTTACTCTAGAATAAGTTTGATTTGTCACAATACACCAGGATATCAAAGACAAAGGTAAAGTACTTAGTTGTATCTAACATGCAAAAAAAAAAAGTTCAGGAGAATATCTGAAGAGAACCAAGCAATATGCAGTTGTCCAAATGTGCCACATAGAAGAAGATCCCAGAGAAGCAGTCTTCTGATTGGTTGTGTTCCAGGTCACCAGCCTTTAACAAGGTTCAAGCTTCATTCTAAATCCAGTGGACTACTGCAAAGAGAGAGAGTGCAACAGCCACAAGGATAGGCAGGTCTTGGGGAATGGGTGCTGGCACACAGAGATGGTCATCCAAAGAGGGGAACTGCATGCAAATTCACAGGCCAGTTGTGCCCCAGATATTATTCTCAATAGCTGCAAAAAAGAGAGGGTTGTACTCTGACTGCATTAAAACATGCTATGGGAAAATGGCAAAGCTAAGAACTATTTCCCTAACATGCTGGTTAAAGAAGTGAATTCTATTTCATCCCAGCATTAGGTGATCATCAGAACAAGGATCATCTGGAGCTCATTTACTAACACTAAATGAAGTAGCATTTTATTGTACTGGCATAGTCCCTACTCTAGAAGTTATGAAAGGATTAAATAATAGACTCATCAACCCAAACGATGCACTATCCTTCTTATTAGACCTGAACAGATCTAACTAGAAGAAAAATAGTATGAACATCTAAAAATATCTCAAATACTATCTCTTGAGTGATTATGGTTTTATGTGGGCAAATAAATACACATGTAAGGAGAACACACATTACTGTAAATTTCCATTCACCAAAAATTCCCTCTACTGGAAGCCAGCATGTCATGGAGTCAAAGTGTTAGCTTTGCTTGCTCCTTGATGTGCTAGTTTTATCTATTCAGAGAATCTGAAAAGGTAAAAGCCAGAAGAAAATTTAGGGTAGAAACATTTTTGAGCATGAAGCATTGAGTTTGAATCTGTTGGTGACAGAAAGTGGCCTGGAACTAGAATATAAGCCAATGTATGAGTTGGGACTGTAGAACAGGGGAAAGTGTGTTTCCCCTACATAACTAAGTCATCAAAGTCAGTCCTGAAATACTTATGCATATGACTTTGAAAAACACAAAGCATGGCTTATATGTACGCTTAAGAAATAAAAACTCCATCCCTTTTAATACACAAATACACACACACATGCATGCATTTATATAGCAATATCAGCTGTCAACACAACAGTGTGACAAGTTCTAACCAATGGAACAGGCTGATTTGGGGGTGGAATAGTTCAACTGTCATGAATTACAACAAATGCTTTTATAAAACAAAATTTACAAAGCACACTCCCACAAAATCCCTATCTGGCCAGCGATAAATAGTTCTTAAGCATGCATGCAGATTAGGTAAGCACATTCCTAACAGTTATTTTATTACTTACGCTCCTTCCTCTCGTAGAAGTGCCAGGAATTTTCTCACACGGTACTCAGGATCCATCTTCATAAATTACATGTATTAAAAACACAACAGTTAGTACACAAACACTCTCCAGTTAATCACAACAAATTCAATGAACAAAACGAAAGTTAAAAGAAGTAGTACCAACTAGACAAAAAAGTTTTATCACAGTTATTTTTTTAACTAAAGAACAAAAGTTAGTGCGTGTAGCCTTTCTGCTTCTATTCACCTGACCCCCAATTTGATGTTGGGAAATAGTGCCTGGCTTCAAGAGCAGCCAATGATCAAGTACTAATTCAATATTGTCAGAAAAAGAGACTGTAGATATATGACCATTCAGCAATTCCTGCATTTACAAAAATTTACAAAAAAGAACTGCATGCTGAAATATTAAACCATGCAGATTTTTGCAGTTGTTAAAGTAGATTTCAGCAGGTAATGAACACATTCATATAGCATAGTAAACCATAATAAGGGCAAACACACCAGGCTAGTTCTTTCTGTTTATGTCCACTGGTTCCTCCCATCAATTGGGAAGCTATGTCAATTCTACAGCTTCTATTTGCTCCCCATGTTTTTTGGTCATTGGCAAAAGACAAAATTAACATTGATCTTTCTTAAACAAAAGAGCCTGCTGAAAAACATGCTGTACTCATGATCGCAGATTTACTGTTCAATTTCTGCCTTATTTCAGATCCAATTTCAAATGCTAAGGAGTATGTCTAATAAAAGGATAAGAATGATAGAACAAAAAATAAATAAAATACAACTATCTTCCATTATTCAGTCCCTATTCCTTTGTTAGCTGGAAAGGAAAGAGGGAACATAACACAATTGTTTCTTCATCATATCTCTCATTCCATTCCGTGTCTCTTTCCCACTTTTGAATATTAAATCATATTAATTCAAGGTACTAAAATGCAGGATCAGTAACTAACCAAGAGGGATCTTCTTAAAGCAATAAAAAAGTGAAATTGGCCATCACCAGGCCAGAGTCAAATGGTACAGGTCTCTGCCTATTACATTTTAATAGGTGTGAGCAATAAGTTACTGACTTTTGCCTATAGCTATAAAAATAAAGAGACAAAGGAAAGAAAGGAAAAAGTAATCTAGATAAATAACTTTGTACCCTCAGGTGACATCCAGTCAAAGCAGATCCCAAATCTTATACAAGTTTCAACAGAATTTCAAAGAACAAGTCACTCAGAAGGGAGTGGGAAGCATTTATAACACAGTGACGAATTGCATACTTCTTGGCTTATACTTAAAAGCAGTCCGAAAAATAGGCAAAAAGTCTTCATTTATAGTTACACCAGCTGATTAGCAGGCATCAGTCTTGGAGAGATATAGAATTGCCCATATGCGTATCTGCTATTAATGCATATTTGACCTCCATTTTCATTTAACTGGCACACTTACACCCAAGCTAAGAGGTGTAAACTTTAACTAGGTTCATGGACTATGTCCCTTGGCAGGTGATCAGATTTCACTAGCTTCTTTTGCATAAATTTTAAGCCATCATTTTACAAAATAATTCACTAGCTGTCTGTGGAGAATTGTTTTCAGTGACCACTAATAACCTAGATGGCATGAAATTAATTTTAAAAAGATATATAACTTTTAATCATCTGTAGTTTTACATAGCAAATGTGAATGATAAAATCAATTTGTCAAATCCTGGTAGAAACTAGATCCCTAAAGTTTTGCCTCCTAATATGTGAGAAGGAAAATTATTTAAATGTATCTTCCCTTTTGCATGACAGATGCAACAATTTATTGAAGTTTCCTGCCACCTGGAAATTAGTCCCAATAAATAAATATGCAAAGAAGTTCCCTCTTTGCTAAGTAGAAATTGCTATCTTCTGCCCCACTATAATTAAGTTACTATCTACTTTGTGAAGGAAAATAAGACATTTCAATACAGTGTTAGCCCTTTTTAAAACATAGCTGAAAGTGGGACTCCAGGTCCATATTTTATTTGATTTCATTGTTACTGAACTTTCATTATGCAGGTGTTTGGAACATCAACTGTGCTGAACCTTTAGAAATGAGAGATTGTAATTTGTAATTAATTCCTAAGCAGAAATAAAAGCATAAAGACCTATTTTTTATTTTTCCCAATGCCCAGTGCCTTTTAAAAAAATATCTTGGCTTGACCAGGGGCCAAGCAGCCCATATATCTAGCTCAGAGATGGGCCAGATGTGACCCTCCAAACATGTCTTTCAGCTCTTGCCAACTGTAGGCAACATTAAAAAAAATGATAAGGAACACTTAACTGCAAACTCCAAGTTCTGGAGGGCCACGCTTTTTATTTTCTTGACTTGATCTAAGGGCAAAAGTGTTTTACCTGCAGTGACATCTCAATTAGCATCAGCAGCTTCTTGATGCCAATCCAGACCTTCTTCCCTTTGACATTCTGAGCAATGGTGCTGCGTTCCTTGTCTTTGAAGACACTCAGGAGCTAGAAGTTGCAAAAAGAAAGTTACCTAAGTTATAAGGAAAGCCCAGTCGAGGGAATGGATGGGATCTGGATAACTCTGGAATCCATTTTCTTCTTATACAGCAGGATATTTTTTATATTAACTACTTGAAAAATAAGCCAGCTAGAAACCATCATTTCAGTTTATGTTCAAATCTTCTGCTCCAGACATAATATTTATTGCCACTTCTACTCTTCATTCCAAGATAAAGTTCTGTTTTTCCAAGATAAAGTTATATTTTCACTCCTAAATATTATTGTAGAAAGATGACCTTGACAGAGATCTGTTGCCTAGGCTAAAAGGGAGGAAATCTAAAACTGCCAGATAGTGTTCGGAAGTGGCTCAGACAGACAACTCCCTAATTCACAAAGTAGTGGGTGATGCAGAACATAGCCAATCTTAATAAAAATAGCTTCAGCATTCTTGAAAAGGAGATTTCCTGGTATGGGCTACCTAGTAAAGCTGATGGAAGGATTTCAAAAGATCCACAGACTCGATTTGTCTAGAACTCCAAAGAAATGGGGTTCTGTTTTCAGATTCCTTCCTCCAGGGCACACTAGTGATCTCCTCACCTCTAGGGCCTCCATGAGATGGTCGCCTGTAGCAATGTTGGGAATATGGATAGTAGTACTAAACGCATCCAGCATCTCCATCTCTTGCAGGACATCTTTGCGACTAGTAGTCCCCACAATCAAGAGCTTGCGACCCTAAATGTTAATAAAAAATGGGAAGGAAGGTAAAGGTAAATGAAACGGAACATTTTTGGAAATAACTCAAATACAATTTTACTCTTTGTCTTTCATCCTTTCTTTTCAATGTTTGGTAGCTTGATATTATCCTGCTGAACAAGTTCAGTGGTCCAAACCACATTTTTACAGTGAGGTAAGTCACAGGAAGCCAGGAAAGCAAAAAAGAGGGCTTGAAAGCATTGGTTTCTCAAATATTGGATTTTTTTTAAATTGGTAAACATAGAAATACCATTTTGCTACTAATGATAGTAGTTTTTGATAGCCTTACACTCCATGCATTTTAACTCTTTAAAAAATTTTAAATGATCTTTCCAAGAAATCTGAAAACTTCTGCGAAATATTGAAGACAAGCTACATTTTTGTTAAGTTATTCTTTCTAGATTTCTTTTGGGATAAACCATTACAGTTAAGCTGTTATAGATTTGTAGCACAGCTTGGATTAGGTTACTAGTACAGTATTGTAAGGAAAATGTTCCTTTCAAGCAAATGAAAAGTACCAAACTGTCAGATTCATCACTGATCTTGCCTGAATTTTCAAATGCCTCTGTCTTTCCTTGGTGAGATGCTCACTAAAACAGGAGATTGGAAAAGATAGCCCAAAATACAACAGTACTTATATATTGCTTGAAAAGACACTAACAAGCCATTAAACCAAAATTAATACTTCAATTGAAACTATTAAAACAAGTAATTTAAAAACTGTATTCATTTAATTACATTTCTGTAGCACTCAACATCTAAAACACTGTGGGAAATTCCCAAAGTAAATTATTTTACAGTAGATATGTTCATAGAATTGTTTTCACTGTTCTTAAAAGTTAGTAGAGCAGTTGGTTTTCCCCATAAATTTATTTCTATCATCCTGATTCTTATGAGTCACTCCAGTGCTTGAACTAACCTCTGGCAAGATCAATCTGATTAAGCACAAAAAGTGGTGAAATATGTGAAAGAGAACAGTTTTGTCAGCTGCTGGAAGTAGAGAAAGCTATGCTTTTAAAACCATAAAGCAATTATTCTGATGAAAGATGGAGCCCACCCAGGAAATAATTTTACACTGCCAACTGGAAGGTCATGAAGTTTAAATGGTAAGATAGATATCAAACACCAACATAAAAAATGTACTTCCAGACAAATCTTTCATCTAAACTAGGAAAACAATTAAGATAAAAAAGTATTAAATCATATCATTTTCCAGCTCAATGGAGAGGTAATGCAGTTCCTCCAAAATCTATGCAGCCGATGTGGACTGGCACTGGAAACCAGGTTTTGATCCACCATCAGTTACAGAACTCCTTTGTAACCTTGGTCCAGCCATTCCTTTTCAACCTAACCTGCTTTGCAATATGTTGCTTTGGAGAAAAACAGGAGAGAATGCTATTTATGTTTCCTTGAAATTCTGTGCAAAAGATATAAATATAATAAACAAAGTGGTGTTAAGTGCCTGGGAAATCAGATTCAGGCGGTTCAAATGAATATAAAGATTTATTGTAAGCATAGCTCTCTACAAGAATCTGGCCAAGTGACCATTAAGGAAATGTGTGGGAGTTAAGAAAGGAATTCAAGGTGGTCTGGACTTAGATTTCTTGCAGGCACACAGGGACTCATGACTTATGACTTATTTGACCCTCCCTTGGGCTCAGCCTGGTCATTTCCTACAGGTGGTAAATAATGAGTTTAAACTAAATGAGTTCATTGGGTAAAATAAATGGGAACACTAGCAGATATCAGAGTGTGGAGTTCTGGTGCTCTCTAAGCTTCGTTATTTTATTTTTAAAAGTTTTATTTGTCTTTTAAAAACTTATAAAACATGGGCAAAAGTATAGTAGCAATGGCTATTAATTAAAAGTGCTGGAAACTAAGATTTTAATAGTTCAACAGAACATATTAATGTTACTTTTGTAAAAATAAAAAGCAAACAACCCTTTCCTCTCCAATTCAGGTGAATTCATAACAAAAAAGTCTAATATGATTCTATCACTGCATTCAATATTTAAAAAGTAAATGATTACAGTCTGACAATTACATCTCCAATTGTGTGGCTCATTCAATTTTCTGACGGCACGTGTCTAATTCAAGTTTTCATATCTGTATTCAATACTTGTGCGGTATAAACTTCAAGAAATGACCCAGGTCCTTCATGTTTATGCTAACTACATCACATAGTAAGCATTTTGCTGACATATAGAGCGCCAAAAGGAAGTGAAATTATCTAAATATAACTAGTCCGTTTGGGGATTCATTGATAAACATATGAATCAGGTAAATCATATGACTACAAGCTAATTTTATGTTCAGAATTTCTGATCTCCATACCTTTGTTATTATTATTCCTAATGATTCTTTACTGATTAAAAATAACAATTTAAAAATGACTTTTCTTCCCTACAAATGAACAAAATCTCGTTATTGAGTATTCAGGCTCATGTTACCGATTTGGAATGGATCATAGAATTTTAGGGCTGGAAACGAATGTGGGAGTGAGTGCACTGTAAGAGGGATGGCTTTCAAGAAGCGCCATGCAAAATAATTTAATAAATTAAAAAGACAGGAGGGAGATTAAACAAGGGCTTAAAAGTGACCAGGAGGCATGGAGAGGGCAGAATAATGAGCAAACAGGCAGACAGGAGAAAGAAATCAAAATTTGCATAAAAGATGCTGGCTAATTAAAAGAATACTAGTGAAATAAAAATCATGCAGGTGGGCAAACATATCTCCGGGGAACTCAGTAAGGTTTTGGATGGGTGCCAGTTGGCATCCTAGGATTGGCAACCAGCCCAGCAGAGCAAAACAATGCAGAAGGGTTCAAGGTCTTGGGACAGCTAAACTGAGCAAATTTTCTTTTGGCTTCCCTCCCAAAATTCAACAGCCAACATCTGGCCTGGCTTGAGAATTCTGGGAGTTGAAGTCCCTGTCTTAAAATCACTGAGGTTGAGAACATGTTGGTTTCATCTGCTTCCCCCAAGCAAAAATCTATAATGAATCAGTGTATTATGGAAGAAATGACATAATTATCAAATTGTGTTTTCTAATGGGAAACTCTCTCAAGCCTCTGTGATTTTATCTAGGTTTCCAGAAAGATATTACATTTTCTGAAGAGAGGCAGAATGTGGTACATGTTACTCTTATATGTACTGGATTCAGAACAGAGCAGCTGACTCATAAAGGTTATGGAAGGAAATCATCTCTATGTTTAAGTATTTTAACAGAAAGATGAGCTGTTTTTCTGAAGCCAGGATGACACTAGCTTTGATTATTGACCAATCCTAAAATTTAAGAAACTACTTTCTACTAATGAAAGAGAATAGTTGTAGCTCAGGGTTGAACTCTGATGCCCTTGATACTCTTTGAACTTCCAAGCTCAGAGAGCAGCAAGAAGCCCACAACATACTTTCTCAAAGATATCAAACCTTTCTGTATGTAAAAAGGCATTTTACAGGGTGGATTATTAATTTATAATCTAAATTAATTGTTATGGGAGACTGATCTTATATCTCAAAGTTGTTTCTGGACTGTAGAGAAACTGGTATAGTGTTTCCCAGCCAAACTATCTATGAGCCTTACAGCCCAACGATCTGCTACATCACACCCACTGCCACAATTAACAAGTTACTGACTGGGAGGCAATGACATTGTGCAAGACAGTATTTCCAATCACAATGGAAGGGATTAGAAACATATATAAGCAGATGCTTTTTTTCCCAACGCAGAGATGTGTGGGAAGAAAAAAACTTATCTTCCTTAGGATTCCCTAGCACCAGACTATTAGGCTCTCGGCAACTGCCTATGAGAACAACAAACTGCCCTTAAGATTTTTTTTTTTTTCATGTATGGCAGATTTTCATTTCTAAGGTTGGTTGTCATTTTTATGGAAGGAAAGAGGAAATTTCATTCAGTATAAATTGTCTTGTGAAATGCTAAAAAATTCTGGACAAATTCCTAGAAAAAAATTATTCGAGGGGGGGGATCAGTAACAGGTTATATTTTCCCATTATTCTAGCAATATTAGTTGAACATTTTTCACCTTTTCACATTTCTGTCCTCATGTATGAATTGCATGGTCCATCTAAACCATTTTTCCCATCTGCTGGCTATGCTTACTACAAATTTTGCAACAGGCATCACTTACATTATTTAAACTCTGAGGTCAATGTTTCACTGACAGAGTTTCCAAGTTCCAGAAAATAATAAAATTAAAGCCATCAAATTATGGATTACATCAAAAACAGCAGAATTAAGGCATCTCTATTCATAAAGACTATAGAAGTAAATAAGGTTATATACATACATACTTATAAATAAATGAACAATATTTTCTGAGGCTCACAAAATAATTGCTTTGTACTAAAAAGTTGGTCTAGCTCCAGTAAGTGCCATATTTCACACAAACACACACACATACAAATTTGTAGGACAAACGTAGGGAGGGTCTTAAGCAGGCCCCATTCAGAAGACCCCCAAAACATTTTGCTGGGTTTTTCATAACACTACCGAAATTGTCAATCTAGCTTGGGGTGGGGGGGAATGGGGGGAAAGTAAAAGAGAGGGATACTGCACTAGGCTTTTACCCACTAAGTCTAATTGTTAGTTTTTTCATAGGAACCAGCAGGGAACCCCATGTGAAGCCTCTGTGGGGTTCCCGAGCAGAGCATCCAATGCCTTGTGTGACTCTGCATGTAGATGAAGGAAGCCTTTTGGGCTGCTGGACTGTTACTGCTCCTTTCTCAGAGAAATGCTTTTTTCTCTGGCTTGGCACCCTGCTGGGCCAGTGCTTTTCAATCTTCCTCTCTCCTTTCCCCCCCCCCCCCCCCACTTATAAAAAAAAAATCCTCTCCCCTCATCTCTCCTCTTTGCAAAATCCATGGAAACATGAAAAAATAAAAAGAGTTCAGAGACATGGATTTATTTATTTTTTCTTTTATTTTGGAAAATCTACATTATTTTTTTAAAAAACTTTTAAAAATCTATATAAGAGAATATACGAATACATGAGTAGGGACCACATATGGAGGGGGAAAAGTGGATTTTTTTTCTTTCTCTGGATGGATTTTTACAAAGCTGAAGAACATTCCACATCTAAATGATGTCTGTCTGTCTACATACACACACACATGCAGTGGACAGCTGATAGCCCTGGTTCGAAATCCAAGTGCCACGCTCCCATTCTTACCCCAGCTCCTGTCCACCTAGCAGTTCAAAAGCATGCAAATGCAAGTAGTTAAATAGGTACCACTTTGGTGGGAAGATAACAGCATTCCATGTGCCTTTGGCATATAGCCATGCTGACCACATGACCACAGAAAATGTCTTCAGACAACGCTGCCTCCCTCAGCCAAGAAACAGGGATAAGCACTGCACCCTGGAGTCAGATAGTACTGGACAGGGAAACCTTACATACATACATAAATACGTACATACATACATACACACATGTATGTACATACATAAATACATACATAGGAAGTGCAGATTTACTTATATAGACAGCAGAAATGCCTCCCTGATTAACTGTTTTCAATTTTATATGGTAATACCCAATTACCATAGTAAAGTTATTTTCCAAACTAAAAAAAAAGTAAAATTTTAATTGTTTAAGGCCCATTCTGAAATTAAATTTGGACACCTCCTCCCTGAGATCTGGTATGCTCCTACCTTCCTACCCTTTTAAAAAGCCTCGAGGACTAGGATTTTCCCATAAGCCTTGGGTAGCATATGCCTAGGATCTAAGAAAGCTGTCTGTTGGATGTGAATGATGTGATGTTCTTCACGGACCAGGAATTTTTATGTTGTTATAAATCAATGTTTTCTATTCTTTATTACTGTTTGTAAACCATGCAAAATTATAGCATGGATAACTGTGTTAATTTAATAAATAAAGCCTGAAAGCCCTCATACAGCAGCTTCATAATGACATTATAATGCATAGCAACATCTATACAAGCATGCCACTATGCAGAATAACATGTTCAATTATTTTCCTCACTACTATCTCAGAACTTAGAAATGCTAATTTTCTCCTTAATACATGCCCAAAAAATTAGACAAAGCGGAAAGAAAAAGTGACTTCCCATTCAACATAAATTATACTTAAAACTCTTCTAATATGAAAGGACAAAAAGACTGCTCTGTAAATGCTTCATCTCTTTTATATGAAATTATTTCATTGCTCTTTAAGGACTTTCGGTCTCAGATGAGGACTTAAGCTTAGCTTACAAACATTTTGTCTTGTTGCAAGACAGGATACTTACCTTAGGTGGTGCTTTTTTCAGTAACACCAGAAGGGCTTGTAACACCAGGTTGGAGAAACGTGGCCCAATTGGAACATAATCTGAAAGTTTAAAATAACGAAATATTAATGCACACATTTACCCAGTTCATGGGAAGTCACATAGAGTGGCCATAAGTTCAAACATTGTTCTGTTTCAAAGTTTGGAAATCGGGTCAGTTATACTCTTCCAAGTGTGGTATTAAGGTAACTAATGCTCCAATAGGTGTAGCTAAAGAATTCCACTTAAGCCCTGCTGCCGCCACCCCAAATGTGGCTAATATCAAGTAATGCCAATTAGGAAACTAGCTATGATAACAATAAACCTTTGAGTTGTTAATTAGAGCAGGTTAAGTAACACTCTAATTTAATCTGAGGACCTTCTAGTGTTGTGTTACCCTCTCCTCCAAATAATGAAAGGTGGATACAAACACCCATCATCCACACCCACGAAAACTGCCTCCCTAATGCTACCTCCATATCCAAGCACAAGCACACCAGCCACAAGAGCCCTTCTTTTCATAGAAAACCAGAGTTTTTCTCCAATCTCATCGGTTCTTCACAGATATTCCCTTTACAGGCATTCTCACCAAGAAGCCGTTCAATGTCATCCACCACCACACAGCTGAGCTGAGACTTGTAAGCATCATCAAAGATCTAAACATCAGGAAAAAGAAGCAACACAGCATTTTGTTAATAGCGTCTTCAAATAAAAAAATACAAAATAAAGCTTTGCCACTTGGAACAAGATTTAATTTCTATCCAATTTAAGTGTTTTAGTTTAACTTGTTTTAAAAGAAAAGCTCTTTAACTGAAGTTATGATACTATGAAGGGAGAAATTTATTTCTGCACAAATCACATTCTAAAATTAGAGATTTAAAAAAACTGTATTATAGATAACTAGTAATTTTGTTTCCCTCCTTTGAAGAGTTATTAAATATTTGAAATTTTTGAATGGAACTGCCCCCAAATTTTGGGAAATTATTCCTCTTCTTAGCATGCTGAAAATATTTTTAAAATATTTCTTCAGTTTTGGAAGAGAATGTTACCTCCACATCCACATTCTTAAAATTAATTTTTCCTTTGCTTTATCAGGAAATGGTTCTTTCCTGCTGCAAATGCAAATGTATCTTTTCTTACATAGAAATGTGAAGCCCTCTTAATTAGATATACTAGATTTTTGTTCTCTGCATGCCTCTTTTAGTAGGGTCACAGATTAAGTGAACTTGGCTCATTTATACATCACCCTGACTACCACCAAACTTCTCTGGAGTCTTCCCAAGCATTTCAGTTTAATATCCTATACAGCCTAATTTATTATTCTATATGACTAACTATAATTGTCATTATTCACTATGACAACACCCAGAGAAAAACAATGAAATTCAAGATATTATTCTACTGAAAATGATTTTTTACTCCTGTGTTGGAAGCACTGTATCATGAAAATGAAAAGAAACTAAGACAATTTATATTAAGCTAAAAAAAATGACATCCCAATTTGCACTTCAGAAAAATAATGGTAAATATAGACTATTCTAACTATTCTAACAATCTATTGTACTTCAGACAGATTATGTTTACATGGGTCTTTTTCATTAAATATGACCAAAGGAATTAAAACCCGCTCTCCCCACTCCTCAAATCCTAATTTGCAGTAAAGTAAATTGAAACTGATACAAATAAATGACATCCAACATCCTTTATTCCATAGACACTCCATTTTTTATGCATCACTCTCATTATTTTTCTAAATAATAAAACAAATGAAAATGGCATGGAGACTGTTATTGCTATCCCTTAAAAATTAAAAATTACTATTGGATTTCAGTGATTTTTCAGGCAAACTATTTACTTAGGCTATTTGAATGGGAAAAAAGTACTGTGTTTAACCAGGAAGATCCCATTTCTGAAAGACAGATACAAAAGTCCAAATTTTTAAGATTATCAGGCAAATCCCCAAATGTGTATCTAGTGCAGCTTTAAGATGAGAATTAGAAATTACAAGTATAGAAGCAATACCTAGATTATCTTTAATTATTGACTAAAAGTAATATTTAATCCAACAGGCCTGATTAACATGGATAACTTCCAATCTACCTGAAATATATTTATTAGAGAAAAACTAGAGACCTATGGCTTCTCTAATGAAGATGGGATTTGACCAAGCAAAAAGATTCCTGAAGGAAAGAGTCACTGACACAAGACGGCAATTTTAGCACGAAAGCTAAGAGACACTCTTCTAGTACCATGCCAGCCAGTTATTAATAATCCTTAATAAATAACAGTCATCACAAAACATTTGTTTTGATTAGATTCAATGCATTCCCTTCAGCAGTTATTGACAGTATCAAAAAATTTCTTTCCATGAATAATTTTGCCTCAATGATTGTCACACTGCAGAATGCACTGTTGCACTCAGAAACTGGGGGTTACATTTATTTATTCATTAAATTCACATGCCACATATTTCTCTGACAAGGTGACTCTGGGAAGCGTACAGATCATAAGTAAATAAGTAAATAAGTAAGTAAGTAAGTAAATAAATAAATAAATAAATAGAAAAATAATTAAAAAGTTAAAATTATGCAAACTGGAAATGTCAAAACTGTTATACACACACGGGG